GAGGAAAAAAACTCCAGAGACGTTCCTGAGACAGGAAGTCTAGTCCTGCCAAGAATGTAATAAGAGTTAATGGAGAGGCAGTTTCTGTAAGCAACAACAGAATGTTTCCTTCCTGCCTTCCTTACAAGATTAGGCCAGTAATTTCTTCTAACAACGGGTTCTCCGAACTGCTTAGAATGTTAACAACAGGTTCCAGTGAATAGGTGCGAACCTGTAGAATCCCACCCCTGCTTTTAAGACTTGTGGACTTCAACTTCCAGAATTCCTCTTCCAGTCATGTTAGCTCAGGAATTCTGGAAGTTGAAGTCCACACATTTTAAAGTTGCGAAGGTCAAGAAGTTACGGTTAGGATAATAGGCATATAATATAAATCAAATATTGGATTAGATTCAAAATCTGCCTCAGTGGATATCCATGGGATTAAAAGGTGAGGTCCACTGGCAGAAAGGATGGCACAGCAATTTTGTTGATATTCCTCTACCTCGTAAATCAAGTGGATAATTTTCCCTAGTGGACAATCATTTAAATATGAGCCAGCAGTGTTCCGCAGCTGCCAAAATAGCCAACACAGTCTAGGCTGCTTAAGAGATGGATAGAATCAAATTCACATGAAATATTAGCACCACTTTATAATGCCTTGATAAGAGCATACTTGGAATATTTCATCCAGTTTTGGTTGCCATGGTATAAAAAAGGTGTTGAGACTCTAGAAAGAGTGCAAAGAAGAGCAATAAAAATAATTAGGGGACTGGAGGCAAAATCAGATGAAGAACAGTTTCAGGAATTGGGTATGTCTAGTTCAATAAAAAGAAGGACTAGGGTTGACATGATAGCAGTGTTCCAATATCTAAGGGGCTGCCACAAATAAGAGAGGGGTCAACATATTCTCTAAAGCAATGGATAGAAACTGATCAAGGAGAAAGCCAACCTAGAACTAAGGAGAAATTTCCTGACAATTATAAAAATTAATCAGTGGAACAATTCGCCTCTAGAAGTTGTAAATGCTTCAACCACTGGAGGGTTTTAAGAAGATATAAGATATCATTTGTCTGAAATGGTGCAGCATTTCTTGCCTGAGCAGGGATTGGACTACAAGACCTCCAAGGTCCTTTCCAACTCTGTTATTCTGTTCTGTAAACCTTTCCATGCTTCCATAATTAACTTTAAAAATGTCCATGATTATGTGCTATAGTGAGAGAAGTTGAAAAAGGGTATTAATAATGAATGTTTCCTTTTTTACTGGCAAAAATATCCTGAACAGATGGCAACCAAGGAAATGATCCTATTTTCAGAAAAGGAGTTGGATCCAGCTTGGTGCTTTTCTGTTATGTAAGTAGAATGTTCTGTGACAGCAATAGCCTGGGAGAATTTTCTAGAAGTTATTATAGGACAAAAATCAGCTAATGGTTTTGATTGTGTTATTTAGGATTAAAAGTTCACCTGGAAGCCAACCTAAATTCCCTCATTAGGAGGGGAATGGCTGATTCCAAAGTGACTGTAAATAAGTTGCTAACATTTTAAGCTCAAAACAATGAATACCCATGATGAGAATCTGCATGTGTTAGATAAGTAATAATATTTCAAGTCTTTGGGATACTGGAACTTATCTAAGTTTATCCACTGAAGATTTACAGTGGATGCATCCACCCAGAGCAGCCCAAATTACAACGTATTGACCCTTTTCTGAAGATCGGTGGATTAAGATATCATGAATAATTTTTTTTACTTTCTTACTGAAGTGTGACTAATTCTGGCATTTCTCAAACTAGGTGAGAAATCTTTGTGTGTAGCCCCATGCATTCTAAACTCTCTTCTCCTTGTTAAGTGCACAGCAAACAGTGAAAATGCCATTTAGAGCACATTCTATATAATCAAAAATTTTCCCCAAGGGAGTGTGATATTGTTTCTTTTTCCTAGCTCAAACCAACAGTTATGGAAGAAAAAAGTCAAAGCTGTTTCCCAGGATGCTATGGGTTCTTTCTGAAATTCTCAGTAGAATCATTGTGATTCTTAAAGTTTGGTGCATGGCTTGAAAAAGATTTGCTTAAGAGTGTGTGTGTGTGTGTGTGTGTGTGTGTGTGTGTGTATACATGACATATCAAAAAGCTATTATCTCCTAATTTTAGAACTTTGCAAATATTCATTTTAATGCATTCTGTGTTATGTTCCTATGTCTTTCATTATGTCTCACTTGACCATGATAACGTTTTATATATGCTACCATCAATATGTGAAATTAGGCATTTTATAGAACGTCTAGGAATTCTATAAAATGTCAAAACTGGGATGTCAAAGTATGAAATGCTTAATATTTCATGTCCTAGGCATTCTATGCAATGCCAAAATGCAAACAGCAAGGTATAAAATACTCCTGCTAAATTGCCATTCTAGTCTTCCTTATTACAACAAGTAGGTCAATGCTGGTCTTTTTCCTCTTGATTTTTTTTCCAGTAAGAAAGTTCCGCACTTTATTTTGCATTTCCTTTTTCATTTTTATATACGTTTTTTTCGAAAAAGAGGGTTAACACTAACCCTAACCCTTTTCATTACTCTCTTTTCATACTTTGCCTAAAAGGTTCTTGTCATTCTACATAATATTATATACAAAGCCTAGTAAAAGTATATAGCATATTAAAATAACAAACATTTCATTCTTTGTCTAAAAACATGACACATTCTATAGATTTCCTAGGCATTCTATACAATGCCAGCTTTTCAGACATCGTCAGTAACATATATACAGAGAATGTACACATATAGGCACCTATAGAAATACAATCACAGACACTCACCTAATTGTCTAATAATTTGGGATGTTAACATTTTAGTACTTTATTCACAAAGTAATTTTATAATTTAGTCAGTTTTCACCATTTATATTTTTTTAGAATGTTAAAAAGCAAAAGATTTATACAACCTGAAGAGAACCTAGAGTGAGACTTATGGTAAAACAATATATTTTAATTTTGGTGATCTCTATCCTCAAATGTAAAGAAGACCTAGAATCATAAGAACATGTCTGCCATTGGTTTGCATATTTATAATTGAAAGAAAGATTTAAATGAGACAAAAAGAGTTATGAGTTTGACTTGTTAAAAATGAATTGGAAAACCTACTGTGTGGTAATGATGAACATATTATTGCTAAGATTTATAAAATGTTATTAAATCTGAATTTGGAAAGTGAATATGTAAAGCATTTGATTCCGTGGCCAAGAAACTTTAGATTTAATGAAATGCTTGAACAATGGAAGAATATTTACATTAAATTTACATAAAATTACAATTTAGAAGAAGAATTTTATAAGATGATGTATAGTTGGTATTTAACACCAGACACGTTATCAAGAATATATAAAGCTATTTCAAATGAATGTTGGAAATGCAAATGTAAAGAAGGGACTTTTTATTATTTATGGTGGACATGTGATAAAGCAAACAAATTAATATTCTAATACAGAAGATTCTTAAAGTGAATATAAAGATAAAAGAGAAACTTTTCTTTTGAGGGTTTAATGAAAAAAGACTTGATTTTTTTTTTTTGAACTTTGATGTCAGCAGCAAAATATACACAAAAATGGAAGGACACTTTAATTTCCACAATGGACAAATAGCTGCAAAAGTTGATGGAGTTATTTGAGATGGCTAAATTGACTGTTTTGATAAAAGAAAAATACACAATTACTTTTGTTTCTACTTGGAAACTGCTTCTGAACTTTGTGCTTGAGATAGAAAAAAAATGAAACTTTGATTTTGTGCTTTACCAATTAGATAGACTTGTTATAAAAATGGCTAGTTTATACTACTATGTAAATGTAAAAAGTTGAGGTTTGATGTTACTATCTCGTTCTACTGCAGCAAAGGGAGTTGGAAGTCAATGTCTTTTCTCTTCCCCTTCTTTTCTCCGTCCCCTATTATTTACTTTTGTATTTTTGTATTTATTGTATTATAAACTAATAAAAAGGATCAACATAGAAAAAAATGAAGAAGATTTTAAAGAGTATGCCTTTTGTATGTATGGTGTTTAAGATTTTGAACCATTTTGCTCATTTCTATTAATTTCTAGCAAATGTTTCTGTATTTTAATCTGAGCCTTGTAATTCTTACATAAAATGTACAAAATGCATGCCAATGGCAATAATTAAGCTATTACAGATATACTATTTCTTGAGCTGTATTACTTCACAAATTACCAACTATTGCACTTTTAAAAATAGTTCTTTAGTAAGAAAACGGAATAGAGCAATTTGATTGACTTTTGCTGCAAAGTATGACATTGCATTTCTTCATAATCTTGCAAAACAAACATTTTTAAACACAATCGGTGAACTGAAATCTAACTGTATTCAAACATCATTTTAATACTTTAAAATCAGATTGTAGAGAATTTCTCAATGGGTTAATATAGCTGTATTTATTGGCTACTTAAGCTTCAACCTCAATCATACATGGACAAACAATAGATACAAACTCAAACTAAACCACTCCAAACTTGATTGCAGAAAATGCAACTTCACCAACAAAGTGGTCAATGCCTGGAACTCACTACCTGATTCTGTTGTTACATCCTTAAACCCCCAAAACTTTAACCTTAAATTGTCTCCCGTGGACCTCACTCCATTCCTAAGAGGTCTGTAAGGGGGCATGCATAAGTGCACCAGTGCGCCTACCGCCCTCTCCTACTATTCCCATTTATCCATTTATTCGTACTAATTTCTTATGTATATACTTATACATGTTTATACTTAAATGTTTATATGTAATATTCATACTTATGTTTCCTTATAACTGCTTGACAAAAAAAATATTTGAAAGAGGAACTTATCATGGGATAAGCATTGTAATAATGAACAGAATTAACCTCAAAATCATTTGCTTATTTCAACCTTTGAAATTGTATCCCGGAAATGATACAATAACTTTTGTTTTCAAGCACATTGTGTAAACATTCATGTAAGAAATCTATCATTACTAATTCTATGTATACTTGCTTTCAATTACCTGCTTCTGTATATTTTAAGCCTATTTTCTCTTCTTCATCCTTTGCTCTGAGTGGGGGCCAGACAGTCTGGAGTCTTCCTGGAGTCTTGTCATCCTGTTCTGAAGGAATTACAACAGCCTGATAAAACAAAACCACACAAACAAAAAAATGTATTACATTATTCAATATTAACTCTACAAAATTATTGTACGTACACTTTTTTTTCTTCTTTCCTTATTTTCAAACTAGGTGGGTGTCCAATAACAGGTTCTTAATATTCACGGTGTGAATTTGGGTAGGATAATAATCGTCAATTTACACTACCCTACAGTGTAAATTTATATTTTAAAGATAAAAGTAAACATATATTATGATCCTGGTTTAAATCTCTTGGATAAAAGCAAAATGTTAATGTATTAGATATAAACAAATTATTTTAAAATGTTTTTACAATGAGTATTTGCCTACCAATACACTGACTAATAGTTAATTTTCTTTTAAAAAACAAATTAAAATAATGAGTAAGTCACAAATCTATAAATTATAGGCAAATACGCCTCTCAATTATCACCTTTCTCTCTCTGAAATATAATCTGACAATTCATGCATACAAGATTTTGCCGATTAATGTATGATAATCTATATTTATATAATGTACATTGCTATTTTATACAATATTGTTTTATGCACAACTTTTATCAAGATTATCTAGTATTGTGGTGAGAAAAATAAAATGGAGGGCAGCCTCAGTTTGGTGGTACATTTTCTGCATCAGAAGTTACTACCATTATTTTAATTCTACTCACTGATGAAACCTAACTATCAAAAACTCCAGTCTTTTGCAATTATATTCTAGACATAGCACACAAGAGAATCAATCAACCTACTGGTTTTGTTTCTGTGGCTGCGTCACCGGATTTTGCTTTAGACCTCTCAAATATTGCCATCAAAGATTCCTTTTCATGTTTCATTTTGCGTTTTATTGCTTCTAATTCTGAAATGTCAGCAGTTGTTTCTTTTTTGGGAGGACGTGTAAATAAAGCTTTAAATGCATCCAGTGCAGATTCTGCAGGACTTGGTTTCATTTCTTCACATGGATCCATTTTCTCATTAGATTTCCTTTCTTGGACTTCTGTAGATGCTTGCACTACTTCATCAATACCTTTCTCCTCAGCTTTAGGCCCTAACAACTGAGAAAGCTGTTCTAGAAACGTAGGAGAACCTTTTGGCTCTGATATTTTCTTCTTGGTTATCGGCTCAGGTGCAAGATTCGATTTCTTAACAGGCTGTCTTAGTTTGAGCATAGCTAGATCACTGTCTTTCTGTTTGATTTCGGTGACAGTTTCCTCCAAATCTGCAGACAACCCTTTCTTTCGAACACGTAATCCACTAAAGAAGGCTGGGAGCTGAAAGGATTTTTCACTTGAAGCTGGTTTTGTAGGAGAATCAGTGCTGCAGTCACTTGAAAGAGATTTCTGCTCTTCTTCAGCTTCCTGAATATCCTTTGCTGTAACAATTGAACTAATATTTTCCTTGACTGGTGTTCCAACCTTTGAATTTGAATACATTTCTGGTATTGTATCCCCCATTTCTTTTGAAGGCCATTTAGAACTCGGTAGAATTGATTCTGTGTTATTCCCTGGTATAGTACTACCAATTTCTGTATATAGTTCTGTATCTTCATTTTGATCATTATCCTCCAATGATACAGCACAATTTAACACAGGATAGTTTGTTACATTTCCATCCACATCTAGATCTGTAGCCTCATTGTCTAATTCTGTGTCACTTGTTGTATGAGCCAAAGTACCCTGAACAAGAATGGAATCCTTATAATCTTGTTTGCTGAATTCACACAAAGGAGAGTGGCTAGAATAGGAATTGGAGAGGGACGGCTCCTTCTGCTCCCTTTGCTGTGTTTCCAAGTCTCTTGTGCCATAAACATCAGCCTGATGATCATCTGAGACAAAAGCAAAGTCTATAGAGGTATTATCTATACTGTCATTATCTTCAGAGTCAACAAAGTTTCCAGCATAAATTCTACACACATTTGAAGCACCAGTAATGGTTTCTTCAGGGTCATTTGAAGCCGGGTCATCCATTCCTGAGACTGTCCCCAAAACAAAAATGTCTCTTGTGTCAGCTCCTGGAACAGCTTGAACATTACTTTCCTCGTGCATTGTTTCTGGAAGCAGATCAGCTGTATTTAGATCAGCTTCTTCATTTACTCTGTTCTTCTCATCTTCTTTGTCCACATGGCTATCAATATCCCCATTGATATTTGGAAGCCCTTTTAAAACCACTTGTTGTTTTGAAGCTCCTGGTTCTAATTTATCTGTAAATCCAAACAGTGCTTTCATAGAAAATTTAGTTAAGAAAGCATGGCTTGCTTCAGTCTCCTTCTCTTTCCCTGGATTAGACAGCTTACTAAAATCACAATTTTTTTCCATGTTGGGCAAATCAAAACACACATATATTCTTGGAACAAGAACTATTTATTTCTATATAATTACTTCCAAGAAATGTTTTTTGTATTCAGTAAGTAAATTGAATCATTATGGAGGGAAGCTGCTTCTCCGAATCACACAGTTTTTCCTACAACATAGTGGTATGAAATGCAAATTCCTGCCAACATTTAAAACTTTAGTACTGAAGAAATAGGAAGATTTCACTCATTTTGCATGCCACGTTTTCTCAGCAGCAACACAACTTACTTTTTTACACAAAAGGCCTTTTTTTAGTCAAGGCAAATCTGCAAACTAATCGACTGAAAAGCATGTGGCACAGTTGCATTAATTCCTACTGTTCTGTGAATTCCAAAGCTTTTTACTTTCTAGAAAATAGAGTTAAAGGTTAGTACTGAACAACTGGTACTTGCAGTTTGCTATTTCCTTATGCTGGCTCAGGAGTCACAAAAATCTGTCAGCAGAAAATTTCAGAAAGATCCCCACTGTGGTCAAAAGCTACTTTAGCAGAATCTTCAGAGCAGCTATGTATCAGAAATGCTGACAATCTTGATGGATTGGAATTTATTTGAAGTTCTTTCCTAAAACGTGCCTTGTCTTCTGGAGAATTTCAAATGTTGAAGAGTGGAAGTTAACTGACTGTACTGCCCTTGAAGCTGAATAATAATAATAAAAAGAAAACACTCTTCCGCTTTTGGTGCAGGTTTGGTCTGGAATGTAGCTTGCAGCGAGTGAACATCTACCAAGAGGACTGGTTTCATATTACTGTGTTTCAAACTCCACAACTATTTCTGTGGCCCACAAACAGGTACTAATCAGGCAGTTTCACCACACCCATGGATTAGAAGTTATATGGGAGGGCAAAGTAAACAGAGAGAATATTCATTAACTCTGAGGGAACAGGACATTTAGAAATATGTATTTCCGCTGTCTTTGGGTGTTTGCACATATACTTTATACACACAATTATTTGATTTCTGAATACCTCTGTAGTTTAAGGGCTTGCGATGGATCTTATTTTCAGCCAGTTTTCAGCTTACTTGCTTAACATTTACCAATTTTTTTTCCCTAAAATATAAAATACATTGGAGGTATGCACTGGCTTTTGAATTGAATGCCATGAACCACCTTCCAAAAACCAGACAAGGCCAAAGCAAAAAGAAATATTAATTTAGTTTAAATGGAAACAGAGTAAATAAAAGAAACTAATGTTATTTTTTTCATATAGTAATCCATACACTCAAACGCATTAGAAATTAGTGACATTTGGCTGTTTGGTTGTTTGAGGAACTTCACCCACAGCTTTTGGTGGCTGTAAAAACTGTGGAAATTTAACCAGTTTTGAAAATATAGTTTTATATGTTTTGTTTATTCCATTAGGTATAATATTAAATCCTTTTATTCCTTCCCACTTCAGTATCTGTTTATGTACTTGAGAATGGAGTTTCCTTACACGGGGAGAGAAACCTCCAACTCCATACAAAGAAAGAAAGCCTTTTTGTCAACCCTATAAGGTAGACCCGGCTAAGAAACGGATGCCCTAAAGACGACTACTTTTATTATAACAGCCATAGAGGAAGCCTACAACCCTGAAGCCTGAATAGGTTTTCTTTCTTACCTTTATTTTTGTGTGAATTAGAAAAGATATGCCTCACACATTTTCTCAAATTAGTTTCTTAGTCTAATCATTGCCTCTACTTCTTCTTTCATGGCCATTCCTTTACACCTTCCCAAATTCCTTTTTCTGAGCACTGTCATAGCCTCACCTTGATGAACACCCTACTATTCAAAATGTACATAATTATAGGCTAATTATTATGCTTTTAAAATAAAAACAGTGATGTAACATCTTAAGTGGAATATTTCTAGACAGGGTAATGAGATTTTATTTGCTTTGACTAATTAGGTCACAGTTCTTTCCACCTATTCAGCTTTTACATATACACAGTATATGTTTACTTGATAAATGCAAGCAATATCTGCTGTTGATATAAATAAAGTAAAAATGATTATTAGTGTCATAGAAATCTTTAAACATTTGGACTGTGCCATCTGAAAAATTTCTTTTGTCCAAAGTTCCATCAGAAGACTAAATTAAATGAGAGTGAGTAAAATTAATAAATATATCATTCTCCATTACATTCTAGCACTGGAAAAGTACATATTCTAAGGCAGTGGTGGCTAACCTTTTTGGGCTCCTGTGCCAAAAATTGTGCATGTGCTGGCGCACGCGTGCTCGCATGCCAGCATCCAGAAGGCAATGTGTGCCCCCCCACACCCCTGCGCACATAATCCCCTGCCCCCCTGTTAAGTTTGGCGAATAATGGAGACCAGACATCTGACAAGTGACTTCAACTCTTTAATAACAGTAGATAGAACAGAACAGAGCAAGGCTATGGGCAGCAGTAACCCTTTTATAGGGTTGGCTGCTACCTTATTAACCAATAATATGTGCAACAAGTTCAACTAATACCCAATAAGAAGTGTCCTAAAATTGGCCAATCAGGGACTTGTTATGGACCAATCCTTGTTCGTTGATTAAGGACCAATCAGGTGTGCAGGCTTTCAAAACCTGCTTTGCATTTGGGCTAGTTACTTTTTTATTGATTCACAACACCCCTCCCCCTTGGGTTCCGTTTGAGGGGAGCTGTAACAAAATCCTCAAGATAGACAGGCCGTTTGGTCTGTCTGGATGATTTCCGTGGTTCCACCGGGTTAGGCCTAAAGTCCGGTTCCGGTGGAGCGTTTGGATGATCTCTGTTAAGCTCCGTTTCGGTGCACGGAATTTCCGTGTTGCTTTCGTTGTGGTTGTCCCCACCAATCAGTGTTTCTTCAGGGTTTCGCAGTTCGGTTTCCCCCGTGTTCACGTCCCATGGGAAAGTCAACTCCCTCCCTGCTTCGATTCCCGGTACTTCGCTGGGCCGTAGGGTTTCCGTTGCCCTGCTATCTGTCATATCAAAGTCAATTTCCTCGATATTTCCTCCCCCCTCAGTTGGTGAACAGGGGGAGCCATGGGCGCTGGGTGGTAATCTCGAACGGAGTTGGTCTATGTGGCGTTTCCACACCCTCCCATCGTCTGTTAGCAGGCGGTAAGATCTAGGCCCTGTGAGGTGGGTGACGGTTGCGGGTATCCACAAAGGGTCGCTGGAGAAGTTTCTGGCAAAGATTAAATCGCCTACCTTAAATTCCCGGCATTTGCTGCTGGAGCCAAAAGGCTTTTCAGGTGCGTATGCGGGGTGGAGCCGGTCAAGGTGCGATCGTAGTTTCTGCCCCATGAGAAGTTCGGCGGGCGTTTTGTTGGTAACGCTGTGGGGCGTGATGTGCTGCAACAATAAAATTCGATTGATTTTTTCATCAATGTTTCCGAATTCCATTTTGTGGAGGGTCTTTTTTACAAACTGTACCATGCGCTCTGCACGTCCGTTCGCCGCAGGGTGCGCGGGCGAGGTTAGCGCATGGCGGATACCCCGGTCAGCAAGATATTGTTCAAATGGTAATGCTGTGAACTGTGGGCCGTTATCCGAGACCAGAACGTCCGGAAAACCATGTGTGGCAAATAGCCTGTTTAATTTGTTGATAACTGAGTCCGTTGTAGTTGTGTTCATTCGATGGATCTCGAGCCAATTTGAATAGGCGTCGACAGTAATAAGGAAAGTGTGCCCTTTTGTAGGCCCCGCAAAGTCAATATGAATACGGGACCATGGTCCCCTCGGAGTTTCCCATTCGGTTGGGCTTGCTTTAGGTGGGGCGTTGCTGACGTCCTGGCAACGTTGACAAGTAGCGACCCAGGCCTCGATTCTTTTGTCGATTCCCAGCCACCAGGCGTAGCTCCGTGCGAGTGCTTTCATCCGCACGATGCCCGGATGTCCGTCGTGCAATACCGCTAAAACAGTTCGTTGTAGTTTGTCCGGGATTACGACTCTATCGCCCCACAAGATGCAGCCCTTTTGGGAAAACAGTTCGGTTTGGCGGGCTTTGAAAGGCGCCCATTCAGGTGATAGTTGTTCTGTTGGCCAACCACGTTCAACCCAGCGTAGGATGTGTTGCAGGACCGGATCTCGTTTTGTTTCGAGGGCAATGTCTCTCGCCGTCAGTGGCGGCGCGTGTAGAGCCTCAATTTGCAGCGTTGTGATGGTTGGGGCTGGATCTTCAACCGATTCTGGGAGTGGCGTTCTGCTAATGCATCAGCGTGGAGAATTGATTTCCCCGAGCGGTGTTGCAAGGTGTAGTTGTACGCCGCCAAGAATTCAGACCAGCGGGTCATTCTGGGGGACAATATATACGGGGTTGGTTTATTACCCGCAATAATCCCCAGTAGTGGTTTATGATCAGTAATTATTGTAAACGCACGCCCATACACATATTCATAAAATCGTTTAACTGCAGCCACAATAGCTAAAGCTTCTTTATCCAGCTGACTATAATTTCTTTCAGCTTTAGCTAAAGTTCGCGAAAAAAACGTGACGGGAGCTTCTGCTCCGTTCGGTAATACGTGGGCCAGGATTGCTCCAACCCCAAAAGGTGAGACGTCACAAGTAATAGTTAGCGGCAGAGTCTCGTTGTACTGCATAAGTACAGAATCAGAAGTTAGCAATTTCTTTACTTGTTGGAAAGCGTATTGTTCATGTTGTCCCCAAACCCACGTTGCTTTTTTGTCTAAGAGTCTGTGTAATGGTTCAGCTACCGTTGCTTTATTGGGTAAAAAGACGTTATAAAAATTGATAAGTCCAAGGAACGCCTGTAAATCTGCCTTGTTCCTTGGAGTTGGGGCCTTCTTAATTGCCTTTAATTTGTCCTCAGTGGGATGGATTCCTTGACTGTCCAGGAGGTATCCCAAAAACTCCACCCTTTCGGTACATAACTGGCATTTATTTTTTTTAACTTTGAGGCCTGCGTCTTGGAACCTTTGTAAGACCACTCGGAGTCATTTTTCTAGAATGTCTCTGTTAGGGGCGGCGATGAGTACATCGTCGAAATACGGTACGATCCCTCTTATTCCTTGTAACAGCCTTTCCATTAAGCTCTGAAAGATTCCTGGAGCGACGCTCACCCCGAACTGGAGCCGGTTGCATTTAAATGCGCCCCTATGCGTGACGATAGTTTGTGCCTCCGCGGTGGCCGGATCTACAGGCAATTGTTGATATGCCTGCGCTAGGTCTAGTTTAGCGAAAACTTTCCCGCCGCCCAGGGAATGGAGCAGGTGTTGCACTACCGGCACTGGATATGCACTTTGCTGAAGTGCGTGGTTTAGGGTGGCCCGGTAGTCTCCGCAAATTCTCAGTGACCCATCAGGCTTGATAGGCGTCACTATTGGGGTTTCCCACCGGGCGTGGTCGGTGGGTTCCAGCACGCCCTGTGCTATTAGCTTATCGAGTTGTTCATCAATTTTAGGTTTCAGGGCGAACGGCACCCGACGCGGCTTAAGGCGGATGGGTGCTACCTCAGGGTTCAAGTTAAATGAGATCGGGGTCCCCTTGTACTTGCCTAGTCCGTTCGCGAAAACGTCTTGGAATTCTTGCACGAGGGCTTCCTCCCAATCGTTGCTCTCGGCACGGTGGACTCCGGCTACAGTGATTCCGAGCGGTCTGAACCATTGCAGGCCTAAAAGACTAGGCCGGTCATGGTCCACGACAGTCAGTGGCAGTGTGACGGTGCGGTCCTTGAAAGAGACGTGGAATCGGCGGGACCCGACAACGGGAATTCGGTTACCCTGGTA